CTTCAAAAAATCAATAAATCCAGGAGCTGGTTTTTCGAAAAGATCAACAAAATAGACCACTAGCCAGATAAATAAAAAAGAAAAGAGAGAGTAACCAAATGGATGCAATAAAAAACGGTAAGGGGGAAATCACCACAAATCCCCCAGAAATTCAAACCATCATTAGAGAATATTAGAAACAACTCTATGCACATAAACTAGTAAACCTGGAAGAAACGGATGAATTCCTAGACACCTGTGTCCTCCCAAGCCAAAACCATGAATAGACCATAACAAGATCTGAAGTTGAGACAACAAAATTAAGAGCCTACCACACAAAGCCCAGGTCCAGATGGGTACACAGCCAAATTCTACCAGACACACAAAGAGGAACTGTTACCATTCCTTCTGAAACTATTCCAAACAATCCAAAAAGAGGAATCCTTCCCAAATCATTTAATGAGACCACTATCATCCTGATACCAAAACCTGACAGAGACTCAACAAGAAAAGAAAACTTCAGGCCAATATGCATGATGAACATAGACGCAAAAATCTTCAATAAAATACTGGCAAGCCGATTGCAACTGCACATGAAAAAGCTTATCCACCATGATCAAGTAGGATTCATCCCAGGGATGCAAGGCTGGTTCAACATACGCAAGTCTATAAACATAATTCACCACATAAGCAGAACCAAAAAGAAAAACCACATTATTATCTCAATTGATGCAGAGAACGCCTTTGACAAAATTCAGCAGCCCTTTATGCTAAAAACCCGCAATAAACTCGGTATTGACGGAATGTATCTCAAAATAATAAAAGCTATTTATGACAAACCAACAGCCAATATCATACTGAATGGGCAAAAACTGGAAGCATTCCCTTTGAAATCTGGCACTAGACAAGGATGCCCTCTCTCACCACTCCTATTCAATATAGTACTGGAAGTTCTAGCCAGAGCAATCAGGCAAGAAAAAGAAATAAAGGACATTCAAATAGGAAAGGAGGAAGCCAAATTGTCTCTATTTGCAGATGACATGATAGTGTATCTAGAAGACCCCATGGTCTCAGCCCAAAATCTCCTGAAACTGATAAGCAACTTCAGCAAAGTCTCAGGATACAAAATCAACGTGCAAAAATCACAAGCATTCCTATGCACCAATAACAGACTTAAAGAGAGCCAAATCAAGAATGAACTGCCATTCACAATTGCTACAAAGAGAATAAAATACCTAGGAATACAACTAACAAGGAACGTAAGGACCTCTTCAAGGAGAACTACAAACTGCTCAACAAAATAAGAGAGGACAAAAATAGATGGAGAAACATTCCATGTTCATGGTTAGGAAGAATCAGTATCGTGAAAATGGCCATACTGCCCAAAGTAATTTACAGACTCAACGCTATCCCCATCAAGCTACCAATGACCTTCACAGAACTGGAAAAAAAACACCTTAAACTTCATATGGAACCAAAAGATTTGACCCGCATAGCGAAGTCAATTCTAAGTTAAAAGAACACAGCAGGAGGCATTACACTACCAGACTTCAAACAATACTACAAGTCTACCGTAATCAAAATAGCATGATACTGGTACCAAAACAGAGATACAGACCAATGGAACAGAACAGAGGCCACAGAGGCAACACAACATATCTAAAACCATCCAATCTTTGACAAACTGGACAAAAACAAGCAATGGGGAAAGGATCCCCTATTTAATAAATGGTGTTGGGAAACCTGGCTAGCCATGTGCAGAAAGCAGAAACTGGACCCCTTCCTGCCACCTTACACTCAGATTAACTCCAGATGGATTAAAGACTTAAACAGAAGACCTAACACCATAAAAACCCTAGAACAAAATCTAGGCAAAACCATTCAGGACATAGAAGTAGGCAAGGACTTCATGACCAAAAACACCAAAAGCATTGGCAACAAAAGCCAAAATAGACAAATGGGACCTAATCAAACTCCACAGCTTCTGAACAGCAAAAGAAACATTCATTAGAGTGAATCAGCAACCAAAAGAATGGGAAAAAATTTTTGCAGTTTACCCATCTGACAAAGGGCTGATATCCAGAATTTACAAAGAACTAAAACATTTACAAGAAAAAAAGCAAGCCCATTCAAAAGTGGGCAGAGGATATGAACAGACACTTTACAAAAGAAGACATACATGAGGCCAACAAACATATGAAAAAATGCTCATCATCACTGGTCATCAGAGAGATGCAAATCAAAACTACATTGAGATATCATCTCACGCTAGTTAGAATGGCAACCATTAAAAAATCTGGAGACAACAGATGCTGGAGAGGATGTGGAGAAATAGGAACACTTTTACATTGCCGGTGGGAGTGTAAGTTAGTTCAACCATTGTGGAAGACAGTGTGGTAATTCCTCGAGGACCTAGAAATGGAAATTTCATTTGACCCAGCAATCCCATTACTGGGTATATATCCAGAGGACTATAAATCGTTCGACTATAAGGACACATGCACACGAATGTTCATTGCAGCACTGTTTACAATAGCAAAGACATGGAATCAACCCAAATGCCCATGGATGATAGGACAGGGAAAATGTGGCACATAAACACCATGGAATATTATGCAGCCATCAAAAACGATGAGTTCGTGTCCTTTGTAGGGACATGGATGAATCTGGAGAACATCATTCTCAGCAAATTGACACAAAAACAGAAAATGAAATACCACATGTTCTCACTCATAGGCAGGTGTTGAACAATGAGAACACATGGACACAGGGAGGGGAGCACTACACACTGGGGTCAGTTGGGGGGAATAGGGGAGGGACAGCGGGGGGTGGGGAGTTAGGGAGAGAGAGCACGGGGAGAAATGCCAGATACAGGTGAAGGGGAGGAAGCCAGCAAATCACACTGCCACGTGTGTACCTATGCAACTATCTTGCATATTCTTCATACATACCCCAAAACCTAAAATGCAATATAAAAAAAGACTGAAAAAAAAAAGGAAAAAGAAAAGGGATGTTTATCATCTAAAGTGGCAAGTCCATGAGTCTCAGGGTAGGCATTATTCCTTGGTTCTTATTTTATGACTTAGGACAAAAACAACAGTTCATATTCACATTTCTGTCTCTACCTGGTATAATTAAACCTACTTTGGGGTTGTTATATTCATGGTTTGTCACCCATAAAATATTTCCTAATGCAGCAGGATCACTCACAGTCTTAACATTTGGATAATCTATTAAGTATCCACTTATAAAATATTAATAAAATTAACTACCACTGTATTTAATTCAGCTGGTTATTTTTAAATTTTTACCACTGCACATTTAGAGTGGAGCCTAACCATTGCTTTTCAGTTCAAAATTCTTGTGAAAGGGATTTGAAATTATATCTTAAGAAAAAATATTCTAGTTATTGGATGAGACTGTGTAGATATCTAGACTGTAAAGCAAAGCTGGAATTTTCTTTAAATTGTGTTCGCTTTATGTGCTGACAGGTTTTACCAACCTCGCCAGACAGAAGGGATCATTTAGAAAAATAAGAATTCACTGTCTTTTTCCCTGTGGGCCATCCCTGACAGCCAGTCAAGTATTTTTTTGGTGTTCTGGGACCCCAGTGTGTCCCACGTGAGCTCATAAACAATACTCTTATTTTCCTTTTTGTCTCCCCTGCCCCCCGCATCTTTGGCAGTCACTCCTTGGGAAGCCACTTGAATCCAGGGCTCCTCACCATGCTCCTTTAGCTCTGAGGGCACACTGATGCGCTGTTGGGGCTTTCCTGAAGCTTCTAAGCATGAACCTTTAAACTACCAAAGCAGTGGTGTTAGGTTCTTGGAAGAATGCTTACAGTCTCACTCTACAGAACTAGAACTATGCTTGCTCTTTATATCTCACTGACTCCTGAAAATCTATTCCTTTGGCTTCTTTTATCTGCCTTTCTCCATAGAGACAAATAGCCCTAGAAATAGTAGGGTTAGGAACCAGTTATCTAAAGCACACTTTCCCCTTGGTGGTCTCTTTCAGATTCCTGGCAAAAATTTTCCCACTCCAGGACCAAGAACTAACCAACCAAACAAACCACGGAAGACTATCTACCACTTTATGAGCCATGCCCAGGCATTTCTGAATCTCACTTTAAGTTCAGCCTAGGACGTTGATTACATTTACCTAGAGAGATACCTTATGGATTACAAGGATTTCCATCTAAAGCAATTCTCTTCTGCTGTTCCACTCACATACTCTCACCTCACTATCCAGTCAACGGATCCCAGAACCTAGCCAGGCTGTGAACATAGAACAAAGCAAAACACCAGATACTTGGCATTAACTAGCTTTTACCATTCTTGTAAATATCTGAGAATGACCCAGTCATTTTCATATATCTCATGTGAAAAAAGCAACTACATAACTTAGCATCCACTTTTGAGAGTGAAAGGGGACATTATTAGCATTTATAACCAGACGATCAATATTACCATAAATAAGTATGACATAAACATTAAAACCTTATTTTTACCATGTTTGCCTACTTCCACAACCACATATGTCTTATTACTGCTACATATATGTATTTTTAAAGTCTAGATTCCATGCCCACAAGTTTCTTTCTGAAATCAGTTATTTCGTGGGTTTATGCTGTCTGATTAATACTAATTTTTTTTTTTTTTTTTGAGACAGAGTCTCACTCTGTCACCCAGGCTGGAGTGCAATGGTGGCTCACTGCAACCTCCACCTCCTGGCTTCAAGTGATTCCCCTGCCTCAGCCTCCTGAGTAGCTAGCACTACAGGCACGTGCTACCATGCCCAGCTAATTTTTTGTATTTTTAGTAGAAATGAGGTTTCACTGTGTTAACCAGGTTGGTATCAATTGCCTGACTTCGTGATCTGCCCACCTCAGCCCCCTAAAGTGCTAGGATTACAGGCATGAGCCCCTGCACCCAGCCTTAGTATTAATTTTTAATTCTAACTTGATTTTTTTTCATGTCCCCACCAGCTAGAAATATTTTAATTTGTATTTTCAAATGCAGATGCAGAGTTTGCAGGGTGGTACAGAAGCCATAGCCCGATTGGATCAGTTAGAAGCTGACTATTATGACCTGCAACTTCAGTTGTATGAAGTACAGTTTGAAATCTTGAAGTGTGAAGAGTTACTATTGACAGCACAACTAGAAAGCATCAAAAGACTTATATCAGGTATGGTATGCATTTAACTGCATAAGTTTACAAAAGATTGAATATGTGAGAAAATGCATATGGACACCAGATATGTTTCTTCTGTTAAGATGTTAAAAAAAATTGTTTTTTATAGGGATAGAGTTGGTGGGGGTGATGTCTAGCATTTATTGAACACTTGCTGTGTGCCAGATACTGCTAAACACTGTGCATACATTCATTCTATGAGGTGTATTAAATAATAATCACCATTTATAAAGAAGCTTGAGAGGTGATGGCTTTGCCTAAGATTACAGAGCTAGTAACCACATTAGAACCCTGTTCTTTCTGAACCCACAGTCCATATTCTTAACCAGTACTCTTTTTTGCTGTTCTATAACAGAAAAAAGAGATGAAGTGGTGTACTATGACACTTACGAAAGCATGGAGGCCATGCTGGAGAAGGAAGAAATGGCAGCGTCTGCATACTTACAGAGAGAAGAGCTGCAGAAACTTCAGCAGAAAGCACGCCAGCTGGAAGCAAGACGTGGACGGGTTTCTGCCAAGAAATCCTACCTCAGAAATAAAAAGGTATTTAAATATTGCTTTTGTTCATTGCTTAGTCTTTTATCCATATCTACTAATTTCATCTGTTTTGTCCTTAAAACTTGCCTGTGTTTTAAAAAACTAAGTAAGTGCTATCTCTTGTCAATGCTCGATATGTTTATAGTGCTTTGAGAATTGCCCTCTTAAACACACTGGAACAGCCAATAGTGATGTTCTCTTTACCTCCAGAAATACAGTGACTCTGCTAAAGGGCACGACTACAGGATCCCTGATAATGCGATTCCTGGCTCCCTTTTTATTTAAGGAAGCCCAGTAATGTGTTACAAGTTTTGCTTCTGACCTTAGTCTTAAAGGAATTTTATAGATATTTATTTATTTAACTTTTATTACATTTCAAAATGTTTGATTCTTGATATTTGGAATGATTCATTTTGTGGAAATGTGATTCTTCCTATGTCTTAGAAAATGTTTTGCACTGTAGTCCAGATATTAACTATTGTGGAGCTGTTTTAGTCACTGTAAGTGTGGAGTTGAAATCTGAAACTAGCTCAACAACCTAGACCAAACTGATGACTGTGTGGTACTGATTTACTTTAAGCTGAAGTATTATGAAAGTATGTCATGTTCTCTGAGAACCCACCTTCCTGCTCTTCACCACATTCCAAGGCTATGACTGCCTCGTTTTACAGAAAATCAAAGACCTTTGCTTTTTGAAATAGATAGTTCTTGCACATTAAAGAAACTCAGGCAGACATGTCTCCGCAGTAAGTCAAGAACCCAGGACCTTCTGTCACTTTGTCCATCAACAGAACAGTTACCTTGGCATCCAGAGCCATGACTTTCAAATAATTATGTGCCTTTGCTATTTCCCCATGATGGTAGTAATTGAAACCCACTGCTGTTTCAGCCCTGGTATGAGCTTCATTTCGTGTTCCAGTCTGCATCAACCAAGTAAACATTCAGGCCAGGCGTGGTGGCTCATGCCTGTAATCCCAGCACTTTGGGAGGCCGAGGTAGCTCCATCATCTGAGATCAGGAGTTTGAGACCAGCCTGGCCAACATGGTGAAACCCTGTCTCTACTATAAATACAAAAAATTAGCTGGGCGTGGTGGCACACGCCTATAATCTCAGCTACACGGGAGGCTGAGGCAAGAGAATCATTTGAACCTAGGAGTGGAAGTTGTAGTAAGCTGAGATGGTTCCTTGAACTCCAGCCTGGGCAACAAGAGTGAAATTCTGTCTCAAAAAAAAAAAAAAAGCCATTGCAGTGATTTCAGCAGGTCATATAGAACAGTTTTAGGGGAGAATGAAAAGTAAACAAGATTTCAGAAGAGCACACTTTTTAGAAATGTTAGGAGTATTTTATCTATTACTTTTAGGTGTATAATGCAGGACTTTTGAGACTAGTTGGAATTTGCAAGCCTGCAGGTTTTTGAAAATGCTGTGCAATTCAGACTTAATTGAAAGTCTGATTTCTTTCTTTCTTTTTTTCTTTTTTTGAGATGGAGTCTTGCTCTGTAGCCCAGGCTGGACTACAGTGGTGCAGTCTTGGCTCACTGCAGCCTCTACCTCCCAGGTTCTGGTTCAAGCAGTTCTCCTACCTCATCCTCCCAAGTAGCTGGGATTATAGGCACGAGCCACCATGCCCAGCTAATTTTTGTATTTTTTAGTAGAGACAGGTTTCACCATGTTGGCCAGTCTGGTCTTGAACGCCTGGCCCTGTGATCCGCCTGCCTCAGCCTCCCAAAGTGCTGGGATTACAGGCGTGAACCACTGCACCCAGACGTCTGATTTCAGTTCAGTTCAGTAGTATGCTAGGTACATTGTTAGACTTAGGATACAGAGATGAGCAAGGCATAATCCCTGCTCCTCCCAGTCTTGTAGAGAAGGTAAACCAGGTGAAGAACAGATGAGTGTTCTGCCAGCCAGTAACAGAGCAAGAGCAGAGAGTGACAAAAGCCTTCTCTGAAGAGATGACACTTGCACTGGCTTCTAACATCTGAATAGAAATTGGCCAGATTGATGGTGTTGGAGTAATTACAACAGGACAGAATAGTGCATAGCAAAGAGCCTGAAGCAGAAAACAGCATGGTTTGTCAGGGGATTTTACATTGTAAGACATGCTGCAGGGCCAAGACCAGGTTATAGGAAATTTTATATAGCACATTAACAAGCCTGAGCTTTGTCTGAAGGTAGTGTAAGTTAAGCAGAGGGGTAATATGAACAGATTTACATTTTAGCAAGATAAAACCGCATGGAAAATAGGGTAGAGGGAGAAGAGACGGAAAGGTTCTGATTGGAAGATGTCATTATCCTCTACCTCAATATGGTTGAGAGGTTAAGACTATGAAATAAGTGAGTGGCTGTGCAGGGTAAGAGATGGACAAATCTTGAACTGTCTAGATTTCCAGAAGTAGAAAGTTAGTAGAATTTAGTGATGTGGTGAAGGAGGGAGGAAGAGCCATTCTCTACCACCTCTCCAGTTTTTGGATTGGGCATTGGGATCGATGGTGGTGTTACCAACCAAGATGGAAAACCCATAAGAAGAGCATATATCAGTGCGGGGGGGGGGGGGGGGGGGTGGTGATGAGCTGAGTTTTAGACTTGCATATAATAGGTCTTGGGCGTCCAGGTAGAGATGGCTGTGAGACAGTTGGGCACCTGGGTCCTGTAATATGAGAGTGTATGAGATGGTCTCAGAACATACTGAGCAGGTGATTTTTTAACATTTTATTTGTTTTTTGTAGAGACAGAGGCTCACTATGTTACCTGGCTGGTCTCAAACTCCTGAGCTCAAGCAATCCTTGGCCTCCCAAAGTGCTAGGATTGCAGGTGTGACCCATTGTGCCTGGCCTGAGGAGAGTGTTCTTAGGAATGAAGAGGTGGAAGTGGCAGCAAGCTGATAGGAAAGAGAAAGAGAAGGTGGTAGAGCAGGGTAGATACATAGTTTGAGGAGGAAAAACCTTCATTATATTTAATATTTCTAATTCAGGAAGCAAAACATTCTTGACTAGTGGTAAGGAGGAAGCATTGTAAAGGGCACAGGTTATGAAAGACTGAGCCACTGCGATGTAGGGTGAGGAGAAGGGCTCTAAGAAAGAACACTGGGGAACATTTCAGAGTGTGCAGAAGAAAGGGATCAAAGAGAGTAATTGAAGTTGGAAGAAGCAGGAGAGCTTGAAGTCTCAAAAGTGAAGATGATGATTCCACACAACAGGGTGGTCAGCAGGCTCAGCTGTTCCAGAAAGGTAAAGGGAGAAAGAAATTGCATCCAGTATTGGGAGACTACTGGGGCCTTATGCCTTATGTTGAGAATTTCGAGGAAAGTTGGGGGCAAGAAGTACATCTCAGCAGTCTCAGGAGGGAGTGCAGCAGAGGTCTAGAGCAGTGACTGATGGAATAGCAGAGGAAACTATACGGGTGAGGTGTGAAGAGGAGCAGCTTGATGACTACAGCCCACAGAGCTGTGTACTCTTCTAACAGCATTAAGAGCCTGACTCAGGCTAAACTTACTAGTTTAATATCGGCTCTTCCCTCTTTGGTAAGTGTTAGCTTATATCAATTTAATCAGTGTTCTGCAGTCTTCATTTCTATATTAATCTAAATCTGAAGTAGGGAAACCCAGCCCTGGATCATCTCTCCATTTACATTTATGTGCCTGTACCCCAAGCCCAGCAACTGAGGTGGCAGAACTGCAGAGGGAAGGAGGAGTGAAATAAGGAAGGGTGGTGAAGAGACAGGAAATGAGAAACACTAAGTCCTACAAAGAAAGCTACTGAGAAGATCAAATATACAAGGGGAAAAAAATGCCTCCCTACGTAACACTATCCTATATTCCCTTATTTACATATTGGCATGCCCAAGGTCACTGGCTTCTTGGTTTTTCTCACTCAGTAAGATTGCGTACACAGTTCACGTCCTGCCTCACCTCTCAAAAGAGTGGAGGTAGGTGGTGTCCGGATGTGCTGGTGAAGTCAGTGTATCTTTGTGATTAAACATTTCAAGCAGAGTAACAGTAAAAAACAGTTTGTTTTTTATCTTTAATTCTCCCAGTAGTCAAATGAAATTCAGAGATCCCAGAAAATTAGAATCATTTTCATACTTCTTCTGGTGGCAAAACCAGACCTGAGCTAACAAGAAGTTATTTATTATTCCTCACTTTGATAATTCATTTCACTGCAAAAATACTATTATTAATTATGGGATATAGTTTCAGATCTTGCTTAAGTTATTAGGGTATATATGGTAAATAGAGCTTAACCACCATTCTCTCTAAATTATCAAAAAACTTTTAATTTGAAAACATGCCTGACACTGTTCTAGAAAAGGGATTGTGGACCTGTATCCTCATTTATAAGCAAGGGAACCAACACTTCTAATAGTGACATAAATCACCTAAGGAAAAGCAGCTAATATGAGGCAGGGGTAGGAATCTGTCCAAAGTCTGTGACACTCAGAGACCTGAATTACTGTATCACCAAATCATGATGCTGTCTAACACGGCCTTTGTTTTCTCCATTGCACTGGATAGATTCTTGCTAGGCAATAGAACAAATCAGAATAGGTAAAGAACTAATGTAAAAAATTACATTTTGCTTTAAAATAATTTACTGACTTCAAAAGGTTATTGTTTGACTTTATCTGATCATTTTAGGCTGGGCATGGTGGCTCACGCCTGTAATACCACGACTTTGGTAGGACCAGGTGGGTGGATCACTTGAGGTCAGGAGTTCAAGACCAACCTGGCCAACATGGTGAAATCCTTTCTCTACTTAAACAGAACTCAGCCAGGCGTGAGGGCATGCACCTGTAACCCCAGCTACTTGGGAGGCTGAGGTGGGAGAATCGTTTGAACCTGGCAGGTGGAGGTTGCAGTAAGCCAGAGATTGTGCCACTGCACTCCAGCCTGTACAACAGAGTGAGACTCCATCTAAAAAAAAAAAAAACAAGCGATCATTTTAGTATAGTTTAGTATAGCTTTGGAATACTGGAAACTAACTCTTGAATCTGGAAAACTTCTCAAAATAGTTACATTAGGAAGGACACAGGGTAAATGAAGATTGAGCTTGGTGCTACTAAAAAGTTGTCAGAATGTGATACATTATTTTGTAAAGAAGCATATATCATAGTTATTGTAAAAATCCTGTTTTATATTGTGATTGGAAAATATGTGCTTTTTATATAGTTTCTAAATAATTTTCATAATTTTGACTTTCTAGTCTTCCAGGTTTCTTGGAGCTCTTATGTCTGTGACCAAAAGGTTCAGATCCCGTATTGTTTAAGTCAGTCTGGACAAAAAATCACAGTCTTTAACTTGTTGTCAGAGAGAGCTTAAGAATACATATTTTATATAAATAAATACTTATTCTTTTTTGCCTAGACATGTTTAAAGAGTATAATGAAGCCAGGTGCCATGACTCATGCCTGTAATCCCATCAATTCAGGAGGCTGAGAGGCAGGGGGATTACTTGAGGCCAGGAGTTCAAGACCAATCTGGGCAACATAGTGAGACCCTGTCTCTTAGAAAAAGTATAATGAGACTTGGAATCTTCTGGACGCAGACTTCAGATCTGAAAGTGACCTTTCAGGACAACCCTCTTCAGTCTACCTTGCCCCATCTCTCTCCTCCTTCAAAAGAGAGAAATCAGGAGGTCTGTAGAAGTTAATAGTTTAATAAAGGAGTCGTTTTTGTAAGATCCTGATTTCTTGGCTTTATACAGCTTCAGTAGTCCAGATAAGAAACAAGAGGTGGTCAGTGTGGTACTTTGTTCTGTAGGTGGTATATATTAAGATCAAAATTTATCAAATAAACTTTGGTGTAGTGTTCAGAGTCTTTCAAGTTTCACTTGTATTAAAACACGTTTTATGTATTTATAGGAAATATGTATTGCAAAACACAATGAAAAAATCCAACAGCGCACTCGGATTGAAGATGAATATAGAACCCATCACGCAGTACAACTAGTAAGTTTGGACTCAAAGATTTCGAACAAAACTTTATTTTTTACATGTTTTAGAGTGGATAAAATCTGTAGAGAACCATACAAAACTTATAACTGAAAATTAACATAGTTCACTTTATATAATGAGCAGCTTTTAGGCACATTTGATTAGAGAGCACAGAGTTTCTATATCCTCAACCCACACTCGTAGCCTCTCCTACCTTCAACATCTCATATACTCCTGTCCCCACACTTGATAGCCTTTCCACTGTCGACATCCCCCAGAGTGGCCTATTTGTTAAAATCAGTGAAACACTGACACTCCCCAGAGTCTCTTGATTACATTAGGGTTCTTAGTGTTTTGTGTTCTATTGGTTTTAATAGTGCATAATGACATGGATCTGCTATTATAGTTTCATATGGAATAATTTCACTTCCCCAAAATACCTTTGTTTCACTACTTATCCCTCCCTCTTCCCAAGCTCCTGGCAAGCACTGATCTTCTTATAGTCTTCATAGTTTTGCCTTTCCAATGTGTAGTTGAAATGATACAGTATGTAACCTATTTGGTTGGCTTCTTTAACGTAGTAATGTAGATTTAAGGTTGCTCTATGTCTTCATGGCTTGATAGCTCTTTTTAGCACCACATTATGTTCCATTGTGTGGATGGCCCACAGTTTGTTTATCCATGCTCCGATTAAAGGACATCTCGTGGTTACTTCTAAACTTTGGTAGCAATGAATAAAGCTGCTATAAACATCCATGCAGGGCCTTTTGTGCATGTAAATTTCAGCTAATTTGTGTAAGTAACAAGGGGCATGAGTGCTGGAGAGTATGGTAAGATTGTATTTGGTTTTGTGAGAAACTGCATAACTGTCTTCCATAGTGGCCATTCTATTTTGAACTCCCACCAGCAATGAATGAGAGTTAAGGTTTTTCCACATCCTCTCTAGCATTTTGCTGTTGCCATGTTTTTGATTTTTAGCCATTCTGTCAAGTGTATAGTGGTATCTTGTGTGTGTGTGTGTGTGTGTGTGTGTGTGTGTGTGTGTGTGTCTGTCTGTCTGTCTATAGGCATGGACTACTGTGCCTGGCTTTCATTGTTGTTTTAATTTGCAAATCTCTAATGCATGTTGTTTGTGTATATATATATATATATATATATATATATATATATACACACACACACAGACAGAGAGCAAGAGCACATCTGTTCAAATGCTTACCTCTCTCCTTATATCTCTAGTAAGGTGTCTGTTCAGATCTTTGCTCTTTTTTTTCTTTTCTTTTCTTTTCTTTTTTTGAGATGGATTCTCATTCTGTCACCAAGGCTGGAGTGGAGTGCAGTGGTGCAATGTTGGCTCACAGCAACCTCCACCTCCCGGGTTCAAGCAGTTCTGCTTCAGCCTCCCTCGTAGCTGGGACTACAGGCGTGCATCACTACACCCAGCTAATTTTTGTATTTTTAGCAAAGATGGGGTTTGACCATGTTGGCCAGGCCGGTCTTGAACTCCTGACCTCAAGTAATCTGCCCTCCTTGGCCTCTCAAAGTGCTGGGATTACAGGCTGGAGCTACCATGCCCAGCCTTTTTGCCCATTTTTTAAATTGGATTTTTGTTTTCTTATTGTTGAGTTTTAGGAGTTTTTCATATATTTTGGCTTACAGTCCTTTATCAGATGTGTCCCCTTTTTTTGGCAAACATTTTCTCAGAATATGTGGCTTGTTTTCTCATTCTTTTGACAATGTCTGTGGCAGAACAGAAGTGTTTACTTTTAACAGTCCGATTTACCAGCACTTACTTTCATGGTTCATACCTTTGGTGTTACATCTAAAAAGTCATTGCCAATCCCAAAATCAGCTAGATCTGAGCCTATGTTATCTTCCAGGAGTTTTATAGTTTTGTGTTTTATATTAAGTGTGTGATCCATTTTGAGTTGATTTTTGTGAAAGGCTATAAGGTTTGTGTCTAGAGTTCTTTTTTTTTTTTTTTTTTGGCATATGGACTTCCTGTTGTTCCAGCACCATTTCTTTAAAAGACTATCCTTTCTCCATTGAATTGTCTTTGTTCCTTTGTCAAAGATCAAATGATTCTGTCTCTTCAGTCTATTTTTGGGTGTCCTATTTTGTTTCGTTGATCTAGGTCTTTTGCCTCTCCGTATAAGCTTTAGAATCAGCCATCAGTAGCCACAAAAAAATTGCTGGGATTTTGATTGGGACAGTTGAATTTATAAGTCAGGTAGTGATGACCTAATATTTTTATTTTATTTTATTTTAAAATACTTCTTTTAGTTTTTTTTGCTTTTTTAAATTGTTTTTATTTTTTATTATCTCCACAGCCTTCTCCTACACCTAACATCTTAACAATATTGAATCTTCCTATCCACAAAGAATACTTTTCATCTATTTAATTCTTTGATTTCTTTCCTTAGCATTTTATAATTTTCCTCATAAAGATACTATACACCTATTGTAAGATTGATACCTAAGATAGCTAAGTATTTCTTCTTCTTTGTGGGGGTGGTGGTAATATAAATAGGATTATGTTTTTAATTGAGAACTCCAGTTGTTCATTGCTGGTGTATTATAAAACAATTGACTTTTGTAAATTAAGCTTTTTATTTAATAATCCAGATTTTTTTTGTCAGTTTTCTTTCAGATTTTCTGTATTTGTCTATAAAGACAGTTATATTTCTTCCTTCCCAATCTGTATAGCTTTTATTTCTCTTTCTTACTGCATTAGCTAGGACTTCAGTATAATGTTGAAAAGGAGTGATAAGGGGGACATCTTTGTCTTGTTCCTGATCGTAGCAAGAAAGCTCTAGTTTCTCACCAGTAAGTGTGATATTACCTGAAGGTTTTGGGATAGATGTTCTTTATCAAGTAGAGGAAGTCCCTGCTCTATTCCTAGTTTGCTGAGAATATTAGTTCACTTTGTATAAAATTACATTAGAAACTTTCTTCTACTCTCAGTATTGCTATGCCTCATCCCAACTCAATATATTATCCTGATAGTCATCTTTACAGAACTGACGTAAATTAGTTAACACCAGTAATTTGTACTTAAATATCGGAAATGCCAATATGACCATATCTCTATATTTGCTTATTTTTAAAATTTTCTTTCTTTAGCATCACACTAAAGGCCAAAGGGCTTAAATTTGTCTGCATTACTCTGTAAGCTCATTCTGGCACATTCTTAGCTAATGCTGCCCCTTACTTTTCATTTTAAACACATAAAATTAGCCACTACCCAGAAACTGTAAGATTACCTTTCTCCTAGAACCTAGAAATAGCAAATGAATTAATGTACTTTTATTTTTCATTACTATTTCTGTGGGTCAGAAACTGCTTTGTAAGATTAGTCAGGAGCCAACATGACAGTGAGGTGTGTAAGGTGCTCCCTGCTATCACCATTTCTACTTGCATTATCAGTTGGTTATAAAGGTTCCACACTTCCTTTTTTTTTTTTTTTTTTTTTAATAAAACATAAGATTTTGGTGGAGGAGAATAACTAATTAACTTTTAGAATGAATGTGGGTATCAGATCTTGTTCCCAGATCTATGTTTGGGGCAACAGGGGTAAAAATTAGAAAATCCGTTCTTTTTGTTTTCCTTTTTTTTTTTTTTTTAGATGGAGTGTTACTCTGTTGCCCAGGCTGAAATGAAGTGGCTCCATCTCTGCTCACTACAACCTCTGCCTCCCAGGTTCAAGCCATTCTCCTTCCTCAGCCTCCTGTGTAGCTGGGACTACAGGCACACACCACCACACACGGCTGATTTTTGTATTTTTAGTAGATGAAGTTTCACTATGTTGGCCAGGCTGGTCTTGAACTCCTGCTCTCAAGTTATCCACCCACCTTGCCCTCCCAAAGTGCTGAGATTACAAGTGTGAGCCACCGTGCCCGGCCAATAAATTGATTCTTAAGGGAATCCCAAAGATAAATGTCATCTGCCTTAAAATTTTGCCTAATAACTTTGGTTGGCATATATAATTGTTAGTGAATGAATCTGTTAAATAACTAGTCATCTTTAACACATACAAGTAAAACATAATGAAAGTTAGCTTAGATCATAATAGGTAATTGTTTTTCAAAATACAGATTCTGACCAGGCGTGGTGGCTCATGCCTGTAATTCCAGCACTTTGGGAAGCCAAGGTGGGTGATTCACAAGGTCAGGAGATCCATCCTGGATAACACAGTTAAACTCTGTTGCTACTAAAAATACAAAAAATTAGCCAGGCATGGTGGCACGCATCTGTAGTCCCAGCTACTCGGGAGGCTGAGGCAGGAGAATCACTTGAACCCACGAGGTGGAGATCAAATAAGTGAGCCAAGATCACGCCACTGCACTCCAGCCTGGGTGACAGCAAGACTCCATCAATCAATCAATCAATCAGTCAGTCAATGAGTATTCTTAAATATTCTTAGGCATTAACCTTATTGCAACAGTTTTCCATGGAAATCCTTGTGAATTAAATATATGAGAGTAAGGAAGTTTATTTTAATATTTGATAGTAAACTCTCTAAAACAAAAATGTGAGGATTACATATTACTAATACTATTTTAAATTGTTATAAGCTCAGAGACAAATGGAATATGAGAAGTCAGTTTTCCCCTTTAAAAAATGTACTCTTTATTTATTATAAGTACACTTATAATGCTAGGCTTTCACTTCAAGAAAACATACATACATGAGTGGTGATTCCTCAAGGACCTAGAAATAGAAAGTCCATTCGACCCAGCAATCCCATTACTGGGTATATACCCAAAGGAGTATAAATCGTTCTAATATAAAGACACATGCACATGTATGTTTGTGTGGCACTGTTTACAATACCCAAGTGCCTATCAGTGATAGACTGGACAAAGAAAATCTGGTACATCTACACCATGGATTACTATGCAGCCATAAAAAAACGAGTTTGTGTCCTTTGTAGAGACTTGGGTTAATCTAGAAACCATCATTCTCAGCAAACTGACACAAGAACAGAAAACCAAATGCCACATGTTTTCACTTATAGGCGAGTGATGAACAATGAGAACACTTAGGCACAGGGAAAGGAGCAACACTCACAGGGCTAGGTCAGGGGGTGGAGGGGAGAGGAGAGAGAAATGCCTGATGTAGGCGACGGTGGGGGGCCGGGGGAATGGAGACAGCAAACCACCATGGCATGTATGTACCTATGTAACCATCCTGCAGGATGCAGGATGTGCACATGTACCCTACAGCCCAAAGTACAATAAAATAATACCAATAAAAAAATTTCTCAAAACAAGAAAACATACATGGTGGCTCACGCCTATAATCCTAGCCTTTGGGAGGCCAAGACGAGGATCACTTGAGCTCAGGAGTTCGAGACCAGGCTGACCCTGTCTCTATAAAAAATTTTAAAAATAGCTGGGCGTGGTGGCATATGCTTGCCTCAGCTATAAGCATATGCAACATACAGGAATGGTAATGCCTCTCTTTGGACACATGCTAACTTATTTCAGGTTCTTAGAGCCCTTTTGAATTGTGTTCCTGTATGGTGTGCCTTTGCATCCTTACGTATATTACTAAACTGCATTTTATTCAGAATAATTAGCCTACCACACATCCCCTCCCCTGCCCCCTCCCTTTTTTTGGGTAGAGATAGTCTCACTGTGTTGCTCAGGCTGGTCTTGAACTCCTGGCTCAAGCAGTCCTCCTGCCTCAGCCTCCCAAATTGCTGGGATTACAGGCATGAGCCACCACACTTGGCTTTGTTTTCCAGTTTCATATTGTCTCCCTGCCACCCTTATCTCAGTGCTCATACTTTCTTCTTAGGGTTTATGATACAATCATCCAACACAAATGCAGCCTTCTTTAGGGAAAAGCTGGTAGCGAAGAGGAGAGAAATGATAGAAGAATAGAATAGGGGGTTGGATTTAAAAAGTACAGGAGAACAATGGAAGAGTGGTTAATTTCCATTTGAAATTATGTGGTCCTCTGAGAGGTATCTGTAGTTTTTTAAAACAAAGCCAGAAAATAAATAACCCATTTACCAATATAGAATGCCTTTTCCTTTATTTAACTAAATTAATTTTACCAAATGAGATTTTATTATACAGCTTTTAGATGATTCAACTCTATGGGGAAAATTAAAAATTTGTTTAGATAACTGCCAACTATAAGGTGTGATATTAAACCAGATGATTCATGGATAATGCTTCCTTGAAGTATATTTTTGTAACTGCTGGTTATATTGTTTGAATAATGTACAGTATCTAAATTACTGATTAAGTGGTTACTGGTTTGATTTTTTTTTTTTTTTTTTTTTTTTTTGAGACAGTCTCAGGCTGGAGTACAGTGACACAGTCTTGGCTAACTGCAACCTCCACCTCCCAGGTTCAAGTGATTCTTCTGCCTCAGCCTCCCAGATAGCTGGGATTAGAGGCATATGCCACCATGGCTGACTAATTTTTGTATTTTGGGTAGAGACAGGGTTTCACCAGTTGGCCTGGCTGGTCTCAAACTCCTAACCTGAGGTGATCCAGCCACTTTGGCCTCCCAGAGTGCTAGGATTACAGGTGTGAATCACTGTGCCCGGCTGGTTGCTGATTTTATTTTTAAAGTCATCTACATTAAGTTTTTACACTAGAAGTATTTTGTTCTAAAATTGTATATTAAAAACATTTCATGTTTCATGCTATAAAAATTTTTGTTCAACGAATCTTCACCTCGGGTCCATATTGGGATAACTTCTTATCTTTTTTCCTATTAAATGATAAAAATTGGGACACAACATAACAGAATTATTATTAATTTTTTACCAGAAGAGAGAAAAATTACATGATGAAGAAGAAAGAAAAAGTGCCTGGGTTAGCCAAGAGAGACAGAGAACACTGGATAGACTTCGAACATTTAAACAGGTATTAAAAGTAATGGTCCATTTATTGTTTTTCATTGTTTTTAAAACAGAGCTACATATACACCCGTAGGATTTCTTCGTGTGAGGAAAAACTTGGTTTTCCCTTATTTATAAACTATTATAACCATGGCAGTCCTTTTAAAAATTGTTTTGATGGCATGGCTCCATTTCTTCTGGTTGTTTTCTGAATTAGTATTCTTGTGACCTTTGACCCTCAGCTTCAGTAGTGTAAGAGGAATGATCAGGGCTTCTGGGAAACCTAGATGCCTCTTGAGTTTAAAAAATTAGTTAAATCACAACTGACTATTCAGCTGAAGCATCAACTTGTTATTTATTCCACATACATCAACCTGTGGTGGTAATACATAATGACCATTGGCAGAATTAGAAGGGGGAACAGCATATTTGAGAGAAATGCTTCAGCATTTCTCTTGCTAGGGTAGCCCATGACTGCACACTGATACCCCAGTTTTCAAACATCTCAGAACTATGCTGAAGCCTCACAGTTCTCATTTTTAAAGTACTTTGGAGCCTTACTTCAGTTGTGCATGCTAAAGGATCACCATATAGGTGAAGTAGGCTTTTACAGTGGAAAAAAGAGGTGGGGTAGGGGCTAAGCCTTGTTATTAAGTAAATGTGACTCATACCTGTAATCCTAGCACTTTAGGAGGCTGAGGCAGGTGGATCGCTTGAACTGGGGAGTTCAAGACCAGCCTGGGCAATATGGTGAAACCCTGTCTCTACACAAATTAGCCTGGCATGGTGGTACATGACTGTGGTTCCAGCTGTTTAGGTGGCTGAAGTGAGAGGATCACCTGAGCCAGGGAGGTTGAGGCTGCAGTGAACTGTGATTGCACCACTGCACTCTAGCCTGGGCAACAGAGTGAGACCCTGTCTCAAAAAAAAAAAAAAAAAAAGTTTTATCATGGTAAAACATGTAAAATTATAAAATGAGAGTTCTACCAGTAAGTACTTCAAAAAATGTAATTCTTCTTCATTCTGTCATAAAATGGATTATTAGTTGTTGGAGCTTTTTAAAAATGCCAAGTAACCTGCTAAAGAATGTTTTAATTTTCTCATATGTATGCATTTGAAAACATAGGAGACTAGTTTCTTTTTGCATATCAGTAGCATTTATACATTTGACTTGACATCATTTATATTTTGTATTTTACATGTTATTTGTTTTATACATTTAGTAATTTTAGTCACTAAAAATCTTTTTATCGTAATTTTGATTATTTTACTTTATCATGGATTTGATAAGCAAAGAATAAATTCATAATTGTTTGAAAGTTATTAGGTACTTTTGGATTTTCTATATAACTTTAAGGGTAAAATAACCAATGAGTTAACATGACATCTTTTTTTCTGAGACAGAGTCTCGCTCTGTCACCCAGGCTTGAGCGCAGTGGTATGATCTCCGCTCACTGCAACCTCTGCCTCCCAGGTTCAGATGATTCTCCTGCCTCAGCTTCTTGAGTAGCTGGGACTACAGGTATGTCCCAGCATACCCAGCTAATTTTTGTATTTTTAGGAGAGTTGGGGTTTGCTATGTTGGTCAGGCTGGTCTTGAACTCCTGACCTCAGGTGATCCACCTGCCTCGGCCTCCCAAATTGCTGGGATTACAGGTGTGAGCCACCATGCCTGGCCACATAACATCTTTTATTTGAAAGAGAAAATAAATAGGCATGTGCTCATAAACTGTTTTAATAACATTTAACCAGTTCCAATAACTTCTGATATTTTAGAGGTATCCTGGGCAAGTCATACTTAAATCAACCAGATTACGACTAGCTCATGGAAGAAGAAAAGGTGCAGCAAGTCCTGTTCCCCGAGAGGATCAGTGTGACTCTCTACCAAGTGTATTACAGGTAGAAGAGAAAACTGAAGAGGTAGGAGAAGGCAGAGTCAAGAGTGGGCCGTCACAGACAGCAGAACCCCAGAGCCTTGTACAACTTGAAGATACTTCATTAACACAACTTGAAACCACTTCATTACCTCTCAGTGGTGTTACCTCTCAACTGCCTCCCCCTGTGTCTCTTCCACTTTTGAATAACAACCTCGAGCCATGTTCTGTTACCATAAGTCCACTCCCACCCCCTCTTCCTCCAACACCACCACCTCCCCCACCTCCTCCCCCTCCACCCCCACCACCACCTCTGCCTGTTGCTAAGGACAATGGCCCAGAGACCCTGGAGACAGATCTGCCTAGAAAGGAGGGGAATGAGAAGAGGATCCCAAAGTCAGCCAGTGCCCCCTCAGCACACCTCTTTGATAGCAGCCAACTGGTCAGTGCACGGAAGAAGCTCAGAAAGACTGCTGAAGGTTTGCAGAGGAGGAGAGGTATGTCAAGATATTTCATGGTCCATCTGTTGTATGACATCAGGCATAGTTAAAAAAACTGTATATATTTTTTGACATTGCAAAGCTTAAACCATTTTATTTTTGAACATTATTTTGATAGTAAACAAGTTTTCAAAATCACACTAGAGGAGAATTCTTAGCAACCCACATCTACAAATGCATGAAATACACAGAAATGTATACCTTCTTGAGCTGTTAGGCATGTTTTAAAAACAGATATTCTAAAATTACACATACATGTTTGGTAATGTGTAATAGATATGGCTTCTTTTGTGTTAGGGGAAAAAAATCTGATTTTAAACCTGAGTGTTTTGTTTTGTTTTGTTTTGTTTTTTTAAGTACTCATATCAGAAAAGGGTAAGCTATCTGGTTAGGACTGTCACCAAAGGGAAGACATTGGCAGGATTATGTAACATTTGTTCATATATTTGTTGAAGACGTTTGTATATTTGTATAAGGAAGCAAAAAAGAATAGGGAATAATCTGTTCAACTTATGTTGTACAGATAGATGTGCCTCAGTAAGGTTACTATTTTTTGTTGTTGTTTGTTTTGTTATGAGATACTCAAGCACAAATAAAATTATTTCTAAAAAGAACAGAGAATAATCCTTGCCTTTGCCTTTAAGGAATTTGAATTTTGCACGGGCAGAACATTATATAATTGTTACATATTACTTGCATATTACGTATTAATCTGAAGGACTGTTCTATAAAACATTTCTTGATGTAATCTGAGTAGGATTTCACATGTAAAACAACCAAATGAAAAAAGCACAGCTTCCATAATGAACAAAAATGTAATTTTTAAAAATAAAAGGTGTAACGCAATCCCTCTGAATTTGGGTGGAGCAATGCAATTTGGAAATCCTTTGGGAATCTCACCCATAATACTCCTAAGACCACCTCCCAGTTCCTAATCTGGTCACTTCTCTCATGTAGGAAATGATAGGAATACCAATAGTACCCACCATGGATTGGGTCTTGGGATTTTCTAAAAAGAATGATGATTAGGATGGATCCCTTGTCTTCTGGTCGCCTTCTGCACACATTTCGTGATCCACTTTGCAGATGTTATTTCAGTGTCCTGTGCTTTAACAGTCACAAACAGTAGAGCTTCTATAGTTTTGTTCTAATTAAATGCAGTCCAAACTGTGATACTGTTCTGTTTCATTTTCCAAAGTGAGCTCACCCATGGATGAGGTGCTAGCCTCCTTGAAGCGTGGTAGTTTTCATCTGAAAAAGGTTGAACAGCGAACTCTGCCTCCTTTTCCTGATGAAGATGATAGTAATAATATCTTGGCACAGATAAGGAAAGGGGTAAAACTGAAGAAGGTACAGAAGGATGTTTTGAGAGAATCCTTCACACTTCTACCTGATACAGACCCTCTAACACGGAGCATCCATGAAGTTCTTAGAAGAATTAAAGAAGCATCCCCAGAGTCAGAGGACGAAGAGGAGGCTTTGCCTTGCACAGACTGGGAGAACTAACAAGTAAATGGCCTTATTGTCTTTAGTAGCATTCAGTAATACAGCTTTTATTTTGGATGACAAGGTTTGGAATATTTTTTATTGAGTCTGAGGCATATTGTTTGTTTCACAGCCGAATTTTAGCATGGATCATATTTGTGAATTTCAGGTTTTATTTCTGTAGTTTCTAGAAACTTAAGATAACTTTTTAATGGTGATTGCTATGTGAATATTTTTTTTAAATGTCCTCCTTATTAAAAATTTCTGGCATATGGCTATAATTGCAAGTAAAGTGACGGTCTCATTCTTACCCTAAAAAATAGAAAAGGGCTCGGTGCGATGGCTCACACCTGTAGTCCTAGCACTTTGGGAGGCTGAGGCAGGTGGATCACTGGAGGTCAGGAGTTCAAGACTAGCCTGGCCAACATGGTGAAACCTCATTTCTACTTAAAATACAAAAATTAGCCAGGCATGATGGCAGGCATCTGTAATCCCAGCTACTTGGCAGGCTGAGGTAAGAGAATCTTTTGAAGCTGGGAGGCAGAGGTTGCAGTCGCTCCACTGCCCCGTGCAACAGAGTGAGACTTAGTCTGAAAAAAAAAAGAAAAGAAAAAAGAAAAAAGGCTTTCCAGGTGCAGGGGTTCAGTGGTTCCAGTGTTTGCTACTGTAGTCCCATTTACTCAGAGGTTGAGGCATGAGGATCTCTTGAGCCCAGGATTTCAAGTCACAGCTTGGCAATACAGCGATACCCCTGTCTGTAAAAAGAATAATTTTTTTTTCTTAAGAAAAAGGCTTTTCTAACGAAGTATTTCAGTAACAAACTGTTAGGCAAACTGAATTTTGATACCATGTTAGCTGACCTCAGAGGAGTTTTCTGAGATCAATCTGGAAAAATCGTTGCATTGTCTGATTATTTAACTTTCTAAACCCTTAAAAAAAAACTACTTATACCTGTCAGTTACTATATTATCTAGATAAATTTGCAGGTATCATAAAATATAAAAATCATACATACCTAGTGAATACTCCTGTATGTATTAAGATTCCCTCTGGTTACACATGTGGCATTTTCCTAATAGGGAGCTGTAGTCGACTACATTTAATAAGCTAATTATAGGGTAATATGGCACAAATTATACCAAATATAATCAGTTAAGATAACATGCTATAAATAGTATGTAAAATTTATAATATTTGTAAATGAAATGTAATTTGTATAAAATTATTATAGAGAGTATGCAAACATATTCTATTAATTATTATTATTTCTTGATGGAATAGGTATCTCTGGGCTTCAAACATTCACCAAAGTAGGGAAGACTAAGTAAAGGAATAATTATGTGTTAGCCTGTGAATTCTTTTTGTTGAATTTCTTTTCTTTTTTTTTTTTTTTTTTAACTTTAGAGACAGAGTCTCCCTCTGTGGCTCAGGCTGGCATGCAGTGGCACGTTCATGGCTCACTGCAGCCTCAGCCTTCTGGGCTCAGGCATCCCAAGTAGCTGGAACTCCAGATGCATTCCACCATGCCAGGCTAATTTTTTTATTTTTTGTAGAGATGGGGTCTTCCTATGGTTGCCCCAATTAGCACAGTAATTCCTAAAACATGTTTGATCATAAGAATTTGAGAGCTTATTAAAAATGCACATTCTATCATTGACTTAAGAATTCTGAGTAGAACAACAAATTAAAAAAGGGAAAAACGATTTTCTATTGTTTTTCTCTTTTAAGACAGGTTCTCTGTCACCCATTGCTGGAGTGCAGTGACTTGATCTCAGCTCACTGCAAGCTCCGCCTCTTGGGCTCAAGGGATTCTTGTGCCTCAGCCTCCTGAGTAGCGGGGATTACAGGCACCTGCCACAATGCCCAGCTTATTATTATTATTAGCATTATTATTTTTTTTTTTATTTTTCATAGAGACAGGGTTTCTTCTTTTTTAATTTTAAAATTTTTGTTTTTATTTTTTTATTATGCTTTAAGTTCTGGGGTACATGTGCCAGTTTGTTACATAGGTATACATGTGCCATGGTGGTTTGCCATACCCATGAACCTGTCATCTATGTTAGGTTTTTCTCCTAATACTATCCCTCCCCTTGTCCCCTACCCCTCACCAGACCCCGGTGTGTGATGCTCCCTAGAGACAGGGTTTCAACTGTGTTGGCCAGGCTGGTCTTGAACTCCTGACCTCAAATAATCTGCCCACCTCAGCCTCCCAAATTGCTAGGATTACAGGCGTGAGCCACTGCGCCTGGTCCCCCAAAAAAAGAATTCTCAGTGGATCTAATGTATATGCAGGTACACATCTAGATTTTGAAGACAATACAAAAATGTAAGTTTCTAAACAATTGATTACATATTGAAAGATACTATGAGATAGATAAAATATTACTGAAAGCAGTTTCACCTGTTCCTTTGGGTATGGGTTCATTAGGTAAAATATTCCTCTATTACCACTCCACTCACCCCTCCCCGTCAGCATCTGCATCAATCAATAACTTAAACAAAAAGGATAATATTAATTACATTTGCCATGATTCAGCCAACATTCAGTAGTAGCATTGTCCTGCTTTTTTTCCTATTATGAATATAGTTACATATAACAGTCACTTTGACTTACTGTTTTTGGATCCCAAAGTAACTTCAAGTTATTTTTGCTTGTACGTGTGTCCACTATGCCTTGTAAAGGAATATATATATACCACAGTGGGTATTTGTAGGTTGTCTCCCACTTTACAGTTCTTGCTACATGCGTCGTCTCCTCCTGCTGTAGCTTCTCAGGAAGCTGCTTAAGCTTGTGCCTAAAACTGCCGTCTTTGCACTAATTCCACAGCCGGACCTTCACTTGTGTGTTTAGCTATTTTATTACAGATGATCCACAGTGGCCCATTCACAGTACACCAGCAGGTGCTCAAGTCAGCCCTTGTCTGTCTCCTCCCATCCCACCATATCCTGCCTAACCCTAGACATTGCTTCAGCATTTTGTATAATCACGTGGCTGGGATGTTACTCATAGCTTCTGGCTACTAATTTAGCTTTATTATCAGATGATAAGAATATGGTGCAAGGTGTATACCACTTTGAAAACTGCTTAAAACTTTTTTTGGGGGTGTGGAGACTGTTGATGGTTGGAATATGTGGTACAATGTTAAGAGAGAAACAGTGAAACACTCAGAAAATGTATGAGCTTGGAAATCTGCAATCACCCTTACTAAATTACCCCAGAAGCAAACCATATACTAATACAGACTGATTAGGCAGTGATAAGCAGTTGTGTATCACTGCTTTGTGATAGTGGAAACTATAGTGCTGTGAATTTTTAGATAATTGTCTACAAATTACTAAAAAGGTTTTACTGCAATTTCTATATTCCATTAATTTATTAGATTTCTTTCTTTTTTGAGACAGAGTTTCATTCTTGTTCTTGTTGCCCAAGCTGGAGTGCAGTGGCATGAACTCAGCTCCTCTGCTTCTCAGTTCAAGCAGTTCTGCCTCAGCCTCCCGAGTAGCTGGGATTAGAGTCACATGCCACCAATCCCAGCTAATTTTTCTATCTTTGTAGAGACAGGGTTTCACAATGTTAGCCAGACTGGTCTCGAAGTCCTGATCTCAGGTGATCCACATGCCTCTGCCTCCTAAGTGCTGGGATTACAGGTGTGCGCCACTGTGCCTGTCCAGATTTCTTGATTGTAGATTTTGTCATTAATGTAATGATATACTTTTAAGAGCTAATTTCTTCAATCTTCATGAAGTAGATAATGAAGGTCCACTGTTCTGTCTTCTTCATTCCCCTCAGAAACTCTTCCCAGAGATAGCATAGTTGTGTTCAAGGAAATTTCTTAAAATATGTATAATTACATAGAGATTTAAAATAAGTTTTAGGCTGGGCATGGTGGCTCAGGCTTGTAAGTCTGTAGCACTTTGGGAGGCTGATACAGGTGGATCACTTGAGCCGAGGAGTTCAAGACTATTCTGGGCAACATGACAAAACCCATCTCCACCAAAAATACAAAAAGTAGTATTTTCATGGTGGCTCACATCTGTAGTTCCTGCTACTTGGGAAGCTGAGGCAGGTGGAAACATTTCTCAATATAAGTTTCTAATTTGTTTCCTGTGAGAGTCGTCTTTCTTTTTTTTTTGGAGATGGAAGCTCCTTATGTCACCCAGGCTGGAGTGCAGTGGCACCATATCAGCTGACTGCAATCTCTGTCTCCTGGGTTCAAGTGATTCTCCTGCCTCAGCCTCCTGAGTAGCTGGGATTACAGGCGCGCCACCATGCCCAGCTAATTTTTTTAAAGTTTTAGTAGAGACGGGTTTCACCATGTTGGCCAGACTGGTCTCGAACTCCTGACCTTAAGTGATCCACCCTCCTCAGCCTCCCATAATGTTGGGATTATAGGCGTAAGCCACCGTGAAGTCTTCTAAAATAACTATGGCAGTGCAGTTCAATAAAAATACAGTGTGAGACATGTAATTTTAAAATGTCCAATAATCACATCAGATATGAAAAGGAACATGTGAAACTGATGTTTGTAATATTTTATTTGACACAGTGTAGCCAAAGTAGTATCCTTTAACACATAATCAACATAAAAAACTTATGACATGGCTTTCTATTTCTTTTTTTTTGTACTGTCTTCAGAATTCAGTGTATGTTTTGTATATACTAGTAGCACATTTTGGTTTGAATGCTAAGTATTTGATACTTAATGATAAATGTCCTACCAAAACAGTAAAATTGCATTGAATGGAAAAATACTTTTTACTGGTTTAGATTTTTAAATCAAACTGGATTAAGTCAAACTAAATCAGTCACACTAGACACATATCTAGTGCTCATTAATGACATAAGCTACGGTATTAGATAATGCAGAACTGTATTCAGTCGGTACTTTATTCATGTTCCTGTCAGCTTTTATCTGATGAGTATGTCTTTTATATAAATGCTTCGGTGCCGAAGGTAAGCCCCATAGATCTTAAGCACACTTTTCAATAAAAAAAGCCCAGGTGAAGTATTCATTTAAAGACTGCCTGTCCTTTAAATGTAAGTCAAACAAAAACTCTTTCTACTGCATTTTGAAGATACCATTTAATTGTTCTTACTCTACTAGCAGTTTATAGGGCAAATAGTTTAGACCGAATTTACCTTTTTAGTATACAGTTTTGATATAGTATTAGAGTAAAAGAAAAATGAAAATCTAACAGTCTATTAAAAGTGATCAAAATCTGTATTGGGATTATTTTGTTTTCATTTTTACTGCTTTAAGCATACAATCATGGCCTTTTGTAAAAAATATCTTTTGTATACTTTTTGAGGGAATGTAAATACACTATTTTTAAAGGGTTGTTTTTTAATGGTCTGTATTATTTTGTTTGTAAACAGGTGATTTAACAGAAGAAAAATATCATTCAAGATTGGTTCTGATTCTTTGGAAAATGATAGTTTAAGCCCTTGGTTCCTCAGTTGGATAACAGTAGATCCAAAGTGCATTGGTTCAGTCGTGTGAAGAAAGGAAGCACAGTTGGCAGGTTATCACTTTCCAGTCATTCCAACAGATGATGGTTAACACGAATTTTACATGTGCAATGTTCCTGACTGCAATGAAGAAGAGGCCTTCTGGAGCTTTCTGTTTTTTAAGCACATTCTCCTTCCATCCACCTATTTACATCCTTGTAATGGCCAGTTAAGCTAGGGCTTGCTGTAAGTTGGAAGAACACTGGGTTGACCAAGATCTGCTGTGAGCTATATTGGGACTGCTTTCAGAACCGTCTTTCAGTGCACTGAAAAGTCATCTGAAAATGTAGCTTCTTCCATATCAGCTTATATTAAATCCTGTGACACTCTGAAAAAGTTGATCATGGTAGCTCCAAGTCAGGATTTAAAATCAGATGGAAATACACCTAAAATCTCCACATTACTTATTTCCAAAGGATTTTTCATAAAGATGTTCCGCAACATCTGAAAAGCTGCATGGAGATATATCAGTGTGTTCACAACATGATACATTTAACATGGCATATTTTTAGGAGTCTTATACTTTGTAAGGTTTTGAAGTTTCCATGCTTTTAAATCACTCTTCGTAATTCTGAATTTATAATTTTGAATTTATGTGCATCCTTGTTTATGGGAGGCAATACTTTGATAATGTTTCAAATTATTTTTATTTTGTTTGAACTATTGCTTGATTGCTATGACTGACATTACTTTCCTGTTGAGAATCAGAAATCAAGATTCAATAATAGGGATGTAAATCTTAACTTTTTTCCAAACCACCATTTTATGTTTTTATGTTTATGCTTCACAGTGAAAAGCATATGCTCTACAAAGATAGAAAGTAGACAAAGCAGACAAGTTTCCATGGCTGGCATTTCACCATCTTCAGATGCACTGAATGGAATTTTGGGAGAAAGCCTTTGTGTTGCCACTAAACTTACACACAGCTTTAGGTGCTCATTTTGGCTGTGATGGAGTCCTGAAGGACCCATTGATCAGAATATTCAACAGGATTGTCGTAGGTTTGAGTGAATGTAGATTGTGGGACTCGGTGTGCAGTACCCTGTACATGTAATTCTGCATAAGACGGATCTTGGCCTTTCTGTGGAGGGAGTTAAGAACTAAAATACCAAAAAAGAACTTTATTTCTTTTAAGGCAATTTTCTGACCTAAACTCAGAAAGCAGTACAGAAGCAAAAGCCCAGTGCATATGAATTGGTTTTGCTGGAGAAAAAAAGAAATGCTCACACTTTTGTTATTTTAAAATGTTTTCTTGAAAATAATTAGGGAGAAAATTTTCTGGCAACAGGTTATATAGACAATTTCTTTTTATTATTTCAAAACAAAAAGGCACACGCCTCCATGCCCAGCTAATTTTTTTATGTTTTGTAGATTTGGGGATTTTCCATGTTGTCTATGCTGGTCTTGAACTCCTGGACTCAATCTGCTGGCCTTGACCTCCTAAGTGCTAGGATTACAGGCATGAGCCTGACAAAATCTTTTATTTAAGTGTTAGTAGTATGTTTATTGATGAGACTAGGAGCTTCTGTGCGGTGTCTTCATAATATATTGGTTTTAGTTCCCACACTATTCCCGCTTCTTGTCTGGAAAGATCAGAAATACAGATGTAATATGGAAACTTCATCCCAAAACAGCATGGAGGTGGTGATAGTGTCCTGTTTGCCCTTGGTAAAATATTAAAGCATATTTCTTAACCCAAAGAGTGATTGGTTAAAGCAAATTTGCAGACCTTTACAAAATCATGTATCAATTTTATGCTATCCAACTTTTAGGTACCCATGTGTCAACATTTCACATATCCAATGCTTTGGGTGCTTGTTCATGACTTGTTTTTCATTTATTCAAATTCAGAAAAATACAGACGGATGTAGTGTTAAATTAGCCAAAACCCCTGGAACGTTCATATAGTGAGAGGGAATTTGCTACTCTTTTAGTGTTGGGTTTCCATTATAAAATAGGCTCATTTATACACCTGTCCTGTGGTCTGTCTTCCAGGGTGTGCTGTAATAAATCTGTAGCAAAGAGTGGAGGGTGGAGAGTGTGCAGAACTCCTCTCAGCCTCATGGATGCATCCACAACTCTCTCAGCCCGTTCTGTTATAGTGCTCCATGAGCCACCTCACACTTGAAGATAAGGAGGTTAAAGCAGACAGAGTATTGTTGGCAGCCAGCTGTGCCCACTCTCTTGTAAATAACTTTCCATCACACCCATTTCCTTGCCTCAAGATGCAGGTTCCTACGTCTATAAAATTTCAAATGACTGCAGGTCGGAAACCTTTGGTGTTACAAATAATAATAAAAAGTTCAGATAATTAGGGTCTGCTTGTCCATTAAGATGACATTACCAGTGGAACCCACCTGTTAATTTTGTGGCTTCAGAACCCAACAAAAGTTATGGAAGCCTGGTTAAATTTCCTCTTTTCTTTTTGCCCCTAATAAAATGAGGATCTTTGGCCTTAATACTCAATTTGTGTATTTTTAGTTGTGATGGTACTTGTAAATGCTCACATTTCCAGTTCCAAACTTGCGTGTGCTTTCTATGTCCTTCAAAATATTTGACCCTTAAATTTCTGTTAATATATGGTTTCTGTATCCACAATCAGCTGTTTGCTTATGCTGAGTCAATTTAGAAGATAATTTGCCAATCTGGTCTCAACTGCAGTGCATTTAAAATAGGGAAAACAAGTAAATGAGTTTGAGATGTTTTGATATTAATATTACTGCCCACTTAACTGTGAATTTCAAATGGCTCCTAATGCAACCAAAATTATAACCAATGTAGCACGTATAGGAAAGGCATTCTTAATGATTTTAAATCCATACTGCTGTATATTACAGCAGTATGAGGAGTGCCTGGGTAAAGAGAATTTTTAAAAGATGAACAGTGGTTTTGTTTGTATAGTATAGGCTTATTGAGTTGGTGAGCAGCATAAAAACATTTCTTAATTCTTCGTTGTGGAAGTGAAATATTTCTGTAATGCATTTTTTTCAAAGGAGACTCCTAGATACAGCTATAGTAGTGGGAATAGAGAGGTAGAGCTTTTCTCATAAGATGAAACCAGAAAATAAATTTCAGCACTTTTACTTTATGTAATGAGGAAAAAAATTGTTTCTACAGAGTTGAGCTGTGTAGTAATATTTGGTAACACATGGTGTGGCTACTTTATGTCATTGAATGTGTGTTAGTTGCAAAGCATACTTGGGTCATAGTAGACACTGAGAATTAAAACTCTTAAGTCAATGAAACAAAAACGAATGGGCAGCGTTCTCTCTGTTTGGAATGGGATCAGTATACAATTAATACAATTTAATTTTACACATTCATAAGACACCATTTTTAAGTTACATTCACTGAGTGTATTTGTATAAATTTAAGTCAGTGCTTTTAGCCGAGGCAAAGCTTTTTCATTAACTAAATACATGGTTTTTTTTTTTTTTTTGGTGTTCTTTTTTAGCTTTATTATTGGAGTATTACAAACTTAATATTAGATACACTATTGGGTCCCTAAGGGCTCTGTCAGGGAGTTGAAATTTCATATGCTTTACTTGTAAAAAATGAACAGCTGTAAAACATTTCAAAACTATTGCAAACACATTGTTAAAATGCAACCATTTGATAAAGCAGAAACCTTAAGTTTTGCCTAATTATTGCACTAAATGTAAATGATAACATAAAATTAAATGTGCATTTTAAACAGATTCTATTTCCCACTTACTGCTTAGCATAGAAAAAGAGCTATGCTTAGAGGAGTGACCAGCAAGATTGATTTTAGGTGGAAGAGGGGTGAGAAAGCGGAAGCACCTTACTATTGGAGCATGTTGCATCTATTTAGTGCTACTGAACAATTTGGTGGTTATTTCTGAACTTTGCTGCAAAGTGCTCTTTAGTTAAAGCACAGAAAGAAGGGTCACTGCTTAATTGCTTTCTAAAATAAAGCAATGGTATTTTTTATCCTATATAGTGTAATTTAAAAGTTTTCCTACAAAGTGAGTTTATATTGCTGCCTAAACTGTTATGTAAACAAAGGGTTTTTAAAGGTGGGAGGGAGTCTGGATTCAGTGAGTGTGTGTATGTGTGTGTGAATGTATGAAGAGTTTCCCTATTGGGTCATTTTGAAGATGTGTTTATTGTAAAGTTTTCTGTGTTTTGCCCACAGCAAATGTACAACTTGGCAATTGCAGGATTTAATTGATTGAATTCCAAATTTATACTGTCTCTCCCCTTCTGCAAACACATGCCACTGTAAGGTGCATGTACAGAAAATACCTCTGAGGTTGACTTGTTAAATAATTGATGAGTGTTATTTCACACGGACTCTCAAAGCAGTCATTTGTTTTGCAGATTAGGGGAAAGTTTTGTTTTTTGCTGGTTTTTATTTTTAATTAGGTACACTTAAGAGTGGCTAAATTTGGAGGAGTTGTTGGTGGGTAGGAAAGACCTTGAAAAGTGATGTTTACATGAAAACAAAAGGTATGGATGTTGGTTACAGAGTTCAGTTTTAACAAGGGAAATTTGGGGATTTTTTTTTTTTTTTACTTGCATGTTTTATGGGTAGCTATTAAAGGATGTAACAAGTTATTCCAGCTTTTCCCAATACTAATTACATTGATTTAAGAAGTCTGCATAATCACTCGGTGGCATTTTCCCTTCATTTGTGAACCGAGAGGGGTAAATGATGCATCCCATACGATGACTTCTGACTTAACTTTTGACAGAATCTCCATTGTCTCATTGAATTTCTCATTGTATTGTATGTCTTTCCAAGTGTGAAACCATAATATGTAGTTAATGAAAAAATGGAAGGCTGCAGATTGTTTTGCATGAATAATTAATTGCTCATTAGGGCTATGAAGACTGACATGATTTTTATCAGTTCTGGGTAAATGAAAATGTTAATGGAAAACTGATTCACCATTTTTACTAGCTTTGTGCAATATTAAAAGGTAGAAGCAAAACACTAGCACATTGTGCTTGGCTTGTAAGGATGGCTTTAATACCATTACATTAAATGGACAGTGTGCACAGTGTATTGTAAATGCCAACTCTTGCAAATTTACAATACCTAAATATGTTCAATTAACATTCTAAAGTATTAAAAGTACAAAGGAAAAAGTAAGCAAGCATTTATAGCAATACCATGAAATCTCCAGTAATTGTTTTGACTGTTGCCTTTGCTCTTTAGTGCAACTTTTCTGCAGTGTAATTGTATTGCTTTGTATTTCATGTTTTTTACACTCATGACTTCAGAGTTAAGTACTTGTGCACCAAGTATTGCAATCACCTTTCTCTTGTTGTACATGCAATGTAACAACCTACAGTTTTGGTGCTTTTAACAATATTCCTCTTTTTCTTTAATAAAGGATATTTATTTGAATTAACCTGATTTTGTTTAACATGTCAGTGGTACATATTTTCATTTTATTTCAAATAGAAGGAGCATAGCAGGTTGTGTATCTGTTACTATGTTACAAACGTGGAGAACAGGATCCAGAGACTCTCCATGTCTGTACTTCTGCCTCTTCCTGAGTGCTGTTTGTTGTGAAGTATTTTGATGGCAACTTTCTTTGTGCTATTAATGGACTTTCTCATTGTTTGCTTGTAAATACAAAGTTTGGAAGTGCTGACTTCCAAGTTAGTTGGGAAAAAAAATTTTTTTTTGAGATGGAGTATCGCTATTTTGCCAGGCTTGAGTGCAGTGATGATGCAGTCTCGACTCACTGTAACCTCCAACTCCCTGGTTCAAGTGATTCTCCTGCCTCAGCCTTCTGAGTAGCCGGGATTACAGGCATGCACCACCATGCCCAGCTAATTTTTGCATTTTAGTAGAGATGGGGTTTCACTGTGTTAACCAGGATGGTCTTGATCTCCTGACCTCGTGATCTGCCCATCTTGGCCTCCCAAAGTGCTGGGATTACAGGCGTGAGCCACTGCGCCTGGCCGCAAGTTGGAAATTTTTTAAATGCTTTTATTTTAGTAGTCTGTGATCATCTAAATGGGGATAGGAAGAGACAGGGATTAGGCTTTCCACTGAAACATGGAACTAGATTAACAAGAGCCCAGCAGATAGCCTTACCTGATGTTGACTTGATATAGTCCCCAACACAAGAAGCACACGTCTAAGCCCTTTAAGGCAGGGATCCCCAATCCCTGGGCCACAGACCTGTACCAGTCTGTGGCCTGTTGGGAACTAGGCCACACAGCAGGAGGTAAGCAACAGGAGAGTGAGCATTACCACCTGAGCTCTGCCTCTTGTCACATCAGCAGGAGCATTAGATTCTCACAGGCACATGAACTCTGTTGTGAGCTCTGCATGTAAGGCATCCAGATTGCGTGCTCCTTAGGAGACTAATACCTGATGATCTGAGGCGGAACAGTTTCATCCCAAAACTACCTGCCCTGTCCTGTTAAAAATTGTCTTCCACAGAACCAGTCCCTGGTGCCAAAAAGGTTGGGAACCACTGCTTAAAGGGACTTAGTTCCCAAAGGAGTTGGAAGGGCTCCAGTTCCCATGTCTAGTCTTGGGGAGTCCTGGCCACTTTTTGTCCCTTAGTTAACAGAATTTTTATTGCCAATTTAAAATTTTTTAGGACTGTCTAGTCCCTACATGACTAATTTGTTTTTGACATTAGCCTAGCCCCTTGAACAGCCTGTACCATGCTCCAAGATGGTGTGTGCCTGGATGTAGTCATTTATAATGATGGGTTGGCTGGGCGTGATGGCTCATGCCTGTAATCCCAACACTTCAGGAGCCAAGATGGATAGATCACAAGGTCAGGAGTTTGAGAGCAGCCTGGCCAACATAGTGAAACCCAGACACTACTACTAATATAAAAATTAGCCAGGCCCTGGTGGTACACACCTATGGTCCCAGCTACTCAAGGAGGCTGAGGTTGGAGGATTACTTAAGCCCTAGAGTCAGCTTGCAGTGAGCCAAGATTGCGTCATTGCACTCTAGCCTGGGTGGCAGAGCGAGACCCTGTCTCAAAAAAAGAAAAATGATGGGTTAAACAGAATGGACATTGAAACTTTACTTCAGCTCCTGGATTAGGTAATAAGATAGGAGAACTTTCTCTCAAGGAAGGGCCTTCTAATGTGTACTCCCCCCACATATGTAAATGTGAAACTAACCAGAGGTTTCTAATGACTAGAGCCTTGAAGAATGGGCTCAATGGAGGAACTTCAGCCCAACTGATAGAATAACATCTACCTCTTGAATTAGGTACAGGACCTCAGGATAATCTTTGTGAAGCCATGATACAATTGGCTTAGGATGGATTTACTGCATAATGTCTCAGGTTATTCACCTTTACTAAGACAGGTGAAAACCTATTTCGGAAATACAGGCCTCACTGAAATTTCTTAGTCCTTTGTGACTGTCCATTATCCTGACCTTGCTGAGTTCTATAAGCTAGGTGAAAACTTTGTGAATTCTTTGGCACAGGAAGCTATTTGGAGATGTTTAAAATCCTTTGGTGCAAACATACTAGTATGCAATTATATTCTTACTGTTACAGACTGATAACAAAGTTTAACCATATTTCCTAGCCCTCTGTCCCTCTGCCAAGTTATTACACGGATATATATGAGACTACCCTTCCACAGAGACCTCAACTCTTGCTCACTAGGAACTTCGTTCTTCACTGTTAACATTTTCAAATCTCTACCAATAAACTTGCCCATTCACAAGATCCTTTTACTCACTAGCTGGGTGCCATCATAATTCTCTGAACGTGGCTAGTTGTCAATTGTTTAACCTAGCCCATTAATTAATCTACATTGGCCATATGTGTTTATCACCTAACCACATCTTCCTCTTACCTGTTTCCTTCATTCCTACCACCTCATTCTGCTCTTGGCTATCACTGTGAATGATTCCGTATACCCAGTCCATTGAGCACCCTTCTGATTTCAAGCTCTTCCCTGTCACTACTTCCATGGCCAGTCCTTACCCTGCGTTCAGTAGCATCCTGGACTTCCTGCCTTCACACTGGTTAAGAGAAATGTGCTGATGCTACACAGCTTTCTGTGGGCATACACTGGTCTTTCCAATCCTTTCCCCTACTATCTCCATTTCGCTTGCTCATCCCATTCTTCCACCTGCACATGTCTGCCTGAATTGCCTCTTTCCTATCTCAACGATGTCTCACTTCCACCCGTTGAGTGTTAATGTGGAAAGCACATGGGCAGTGTGTATCTGACCCTCCCTGTCTATGTTCTCAATCAGAACATTATAAGAAAGCTAAGATGAGAAAGGAAGAATTACAGCATCTTGTTTAATCTTCACAAAAAATCTGGGTCTGGGTGGGGTAGCTAACATCTGTAATTCCAGAACTTTGGGAGGCTGAGGCAGGCATATCACCTGAGGTCAGGAGTTCGAGACCAGCCTGACCAACATGGTGAAACCCCGTCTCTACTAAAAATACAAAAATTAGCCAGGTGTGGTGGCACACACCTCCCAAATCCCGGCTACTCGGGAGGCTGAGGCAGGAGAATTGCTGGAACCCAGGAGGTGGAGGTTGTAGTGAGCTAAGATCACACCACTGCACTCTAGCCTGGGCAACAGAGCAAGGCTCTATTAGAAAGAAAAGAAAAGAAAACATTTCCCCACCAATGCCTCAGCAGTAATTTGTCTCACTTCCAGTGATACCTCTGAAAACTGTAGATTCTGGAATTTTCCCACAGTCTCAGGAATCTCTACTTACATGCTTCCAGAGCTAGAACATTCCAGTGACTGCAGCCAGTTTGATCTCTTTCCATCCTCAGCAAATGTCTTGCCATATTCCTTTGGTGATCTGGAGCCGTTTATATTGAACTGTGAAATAATGCTTTTATCAGGTCCTTGCAAATTTACGAGGAAAATATGGTTTTTGGGAAAAGCCTTAAGCAATTAAATATATTGGCCAATTTCTGTCAGAACTGTTTAATACCAAGAACAATTGAAAGGTAATTTATCCCTGAGTGCATCAGCAGATGTGTTGTGTAATGAAAGACTGGCGAGAGACTGGAAAACTCCACAATAAACTTTATATTGTTTGTAAACATTTTTCAATGGAAAGGAAGTATAGCAGGAATTAATCACATGATTATTATTAAAACTTTTTATAAGCCAGACACGGTGGCTCACGCCTGTAACCCCAGCACTCTGAGAGGCAAAGGCGGGTAGATCACCTGAGGTCAGGAGTTCAAGACCAACCTGACCAACATGGCAAAATGCTTTCTCTACTAAAAAAAATGCAAGAATTAGCTGGGCATGGTGGCACATGCCTGTCTGTAATCCCAGCTACCTGGGAGGCTGAGGCTGGAGAATGGCTTGAACCCAGGAGGCAGAGTTGCAGTGAGCCAAGATCACACCATTGCACTCCAGCCTGGGTGACAGAGCAAGACTCTGTCTCAAATAAAAAATTAGAAACCCTACTTTAAATTATTTGTTTTGCAGGTATTGTACACTGTGTAAGTATATATTTAAGCCAGGTGAATAAATGCTATTAAGTAGATCACCTCTGAAGTCATGGGAGAGGTTAAGGGAAGGGAGGGGAACTTAAAACCGAGCCATCCTAGGCATATTATTTTGGTATGCTTATGACGTGACATTATCTCTATGTATTCAAAATTACATTCTACAGATGCCATACAATGGTTCCATGGGATGAAGCAGTCCAGGTGGCAACAACATTCCATGTTTTAGACCAAAATGATCTTTTTCTCATGCTTAAAGACCCAAACTTCTGTTATCTTTTTTGAGTAAGTATTCAAGTTGTTCTGGTGGCTCCAACACCCTTTTAGAGGAATCATTTCATCTTCCCTACAGGCCAGTTTGTGACCCACCTTTTCAGAAACAGGGTGGTTTACCTGTGCAACATACTTATGGGTCAGTCCCACAATTTTTGAAGCACAGGATTAACTCTGAAACTTCCAACAACTGTCAGAAAATGCAATCAAACATTTATTATGACCCAGTACTTGCTGAAAGGTTTTTTAATGCAAATTCTGACTCTCTACCGTTAAGTTTTGCCATTACATCAAGTTTGACTGATCAGAAGGCAGTACTGCAACCTTATCTCAACCCCAGTCATGTTTTCACTCGTTCCAGAGAAGCGCGATGATTTTGTACTAAATTTAGCTTTCATGGATGGTTGAAACAAAAAATATCTAAGTATTTCTAGGCTTCTTTCATAACTCTTCCCTCTCTGCCTACTCTTTCCCATGGTTTCAGATGACCATCTGTCTCATAATGGCTCCATGGCCGGTGCCTCTCCCCCAGCTCACTATACATACACAGGTCCGTATGTGTGCAGCTGCCTAGTGACCTCTTTCTTTGGAAGCCTCACACATATCTGAAATATAACATGCCCAAAACAGTTCCCTTGACCCTATCACC